GTCTGTTATGATTGTTATTTACTGTACATGTATCTACATAACCTTCTACAATTAGCTGAATCAAGTGTTTATAATTTATGAATAAGAAGAAACCAGTATGATATGAACTGTCAACATCAATAATAACCAAGCTGGTTACAAATCTCTTAAATGGCAACAGTGTTTTAATCTACTTGAGGAGAATCTTGTCTATTATTCATCATGCTTCACAAAATCACAGATTCGATCACCATTAATAATCCTGTTACATACAGAAATCATAGGAGAACCATTATTTATCATGTCACACAAAAGAGGCTCAAATAATATGGTTCATTGTCAACAAGAATTATGTTACATATGAAAGTCATCAGAGAGCTATATTAGGCTACTTATCAATTAACTATACTTGCTACAGTTACACAAACAACAATAGAGTAGATGGTTGTAAAGATGGTAACTAGAAATTCCCAAGTTATTTATATTATTTATGTTCCCCTTCATTCAATAACACATCAGAACAGCCTACGCCATATTATTTTATCCTTTATCGTCATCGATTATTAAATAACCAGGGCGTCATCAAAATGGCAAAGCAATTTAATATCCATGGAGGGATTTGAAATTCAAGCAAAACAAAACAATCTTATAAACATGATGACTGAAGTTTTGTTTCAGGAGAAAGCTAATTATGTCTTTAAAGGGTACTTGTCAATTCCTTTGAGGTTTATGATATATTTCTTGAAACTAAATACTTAACCAGCAATTGTAAATTATCCTGAAAAATGTATTTGTTGCCAAAAACATTAGATGTTACGAAATGCTTCAAGAGAGGCTAAATTTAGAAGGTGCAAATTGGAATATAGCTGCCATTATGTGGAACACTTGCAAGATGGTGAATGGTTGAGTTCTGTATCATTCATTATCATACTTTTAGTTTAAAGGAGCTAAATCGCTAATATTTGGGACCTGGAAATTGAAACAAAAGGGTTGCAACGCATATAATAATGTAATATGAATGTATATAAACTGATTTACATTCAATCGTTTCTGTTTTTGCTATAATTTCTAATCAGTTATGTTCAGTAAAATATGCCATAAGTCTAAATCGAATGCCAATCTCTAGCGACAGGTTATTCCAGTCTACACGGATAGTATTTACTGCGCATGCTCTCCAGATAAGAATATGGCATCATTGTTTGACATGACTTGTGGAATATGTTTATCCTTGTTCTTTGAGTCCCCTGTTACAAATGGCGCTGAAATGCATTAGGGTACACGATTCGTGTACCAATGGTAAAATGTTTATTTTGTTTTAAATATTGGATATCAGAAAACCGGTAAGATCACAACATCAATGTTGATCTAAATTGACAAATAATTCAAGTTTTCAATGTCGATGACTTTGGATGATATTGAGTTAGAGACTTAGCTCCTTTAATTATAGTGAAAGAAACATATTTTTCTAAAGAGCAGGAACCAGATAATTGATGATAATAAGCTTTTAATGAATACAATAACATCAACAACCTCATATGCAGTCTGTGTACTACAAGTCCATTTGATAAGTATGGATGTCACTGGGTACGAAGCATACACAAGATCAAAGGTAACATTTGTTCAGTAACATCTAAGCAACCTATGGATAAGGGTGTTGTTTTTAGTAGGGTTGAAACGCTATGTTGTGCCACGATACGATGCGATACAGTATCATGTCCTAGCCCAACGATAATAATAATAATAATAATCTCATTGATATAGCACTAGTCCACACAGAGTATGCTCATAGCGCTTGTGATTCAGTTCTGTACAATAAAAGTTTAATACCAAAGCACCACTAAACATAATGTTTAAATAAATATGTCTTCAGTAAGGTTTTGAATGTCCATAAGGATGGGCATTTTTTTAGGTGGATAGGAAGATTGTTCCAGTATACTGCTGCAGTGTATTTAAAAAATCGCTCCCCAAAAAAATTTCAAGTTGTAATTAGGAATCGTTAGAAAAAGTTTATCATTTGTTTGAAGGTTTCTAGACGAGGAAGGTGCAGTTCCATGCACGCTTTTACCGTGAAATTGATTCAAAGTTATATAGATAAAATAACATTAATATTTAACCAATATTTTTGGCACCTTTTTTTACTCAAATTGAATAAAAATGTACAATCTCGGACACAAAATTATGTATTCAATCATACAGTCACACAGACAATTAAGTCAAGTCAAACAAAAGTCAGGTACACACACATATATGAATACAATCCTGTATAGTGTAATTGGGTATGACATATTTTGCAGACTGAAATTTCATTATTGACTTTCCTGTTGCCGTTTACGTAGGTAACAGAAAAACCGAAATGGTCCCACACTTTTTATCGGTAAGATGCAGGTAGTTTTTCGATCTCAACTTCACACAGTGTAATTACTACTGGACATTGACATAATAATTGTCAAAAGAAAAATACCCCCGAAAGTTAAATTTTAACACTTTTTGTAAGGGCAACTGGCATCGCAAAGAAGAAATGAGTGTCAAAGGCAATTAAATTGGTGTAATTTTGATGGCTTCTGGTATTTTGTCCAATGGAAAATATTGTTTTATCAAGTTTGTGGGTTGTATTTTCCACAAGATTAGTAGGTCAGTTTTTGTAATAATATGAATTAAGTCCTGGATGGCCTAGACATATTATTATTCTACTCGGATTTTTCTTTACAATGAAATTATTATTATTATTATGGTACTTTTTATAGCCCATCTTTCACATAAGTGCCCAGATGTGCTTTACAATAAAATATTTAAATAGATTAAAAATAAATAAATAAATAAAATTAAAAAATTGTATAACACTTAAAAGAGGTTTAAATGTTAAAAATCAAATCATTAAGCATTTAAAAGGAAAGTTAAGAAGTGTTATAAAAGGCAATTTTAAAAAGATGCGTTTTGAGTTTTGATTTAAAAACAGTTAAAGAATTACAACATCTTAATTGATGGGGCACCTTGTTCCATAGTTTAGGTGCTTTAAATGAAAAGGCCCTTTCTCCGTAGGAAACTTGTTTGGCATTACGTTCAATTAATATGAACATGTCTGAGCTGGAATGGAGCTGTATTATAGGTTTATAAAATTGGAGGAGATCGGATAAGTATTTTGGTGCTATGTTGTTTATGCATTTAAAAGTAAAATTTTAAAGTCAATTCGATAGGGCACCGGTAACCAATGGATTTTTACTAGTATTTCAGTAAAATGACAGTAGCGAGGTGCACGGGTAATGAGTCTAGCAGCAGAGTTTTGTAGCGACTGAAGTTGATTAAGAAGTTTCTGAGGAACACCATTAAGTAGAGAGTTGAAAGTGTCGAGTCTAGCAGTGACAAGGGCTTGAACCAAGGTCTTGATTGTATCATCAGGCAGATAGTTTCTAATTTTACTTATGTTGCGGAGGTGATAATGTCCTATTTTACATATGTGTTTAATTTGTGATTCCATAGACATGTGGCTGTCAAATATAGCTCCGATGTTTCGAGCGGAAGCAGAGGAGAAGATTGTGGCATCACCAACAATGATAGGTAATTTCTATATGTCCTAACGCCTAATTAATAAAATAATATCGCGATATAGTATGAAATATTACAACAGCTAGGTTCTTCAATAAGTCTGGAATGGTTCTTCAATCTTTTAATTACTGGAACTTATATCTTACAAATGATAATAATTCAATACATCAATGTACACTAACTTCCATAATAGTGGATGACTGACGCAGCTGCTACTAAGTCGGGTGACCTGATGACTGCCTATTGATATTATACATTTATAGCCTTTTTATATTCTAAGCATAAATGGATAAGCTCAAGTGTTGACATCAAAACATATACTATACAGGATTATCACTAGAGACACATAAATAAACAATAATGGATTAAATACTTAACTCATTAGCTTCTACCCTGATTGATATTAACCATGAAACATTAAATACTATCTAAAACTCAAATTGAAAAAAAAATCGCAGTTATCAATTTTCTTATAAAAACTATAAGAGTTTAAGTCATAGATTTTGTGGAAAAAATTGCAGCACAACCGTTCATGCCGGTGAATCGGTTCGGCCCTAGTTTTTTAGGTTTAAAACAAAAAAGATGGTACCAACAAGATTTGTGTCTGTGATATCACTACTGTGGAAGCAGACTTTGTCTCATAACCTGGAGATTCTATATGTTCGATCCCAGTGTGGGTCCGTCTTCATTAGCCCAGTTTAGGAGCAGAACAGTAGGACATTAAACCCCATTTCATTTCCCAGTGTGGGTCAATAAAATTCATTGTGATTTACCAAGGGGTTCCTGATAATGGACAAATCATAGTTCTTCGGATAGGAGGAAAAACAGAGGTCCCATGTATGCACGTATAATTTCCCTTATAGCACACTATAAGGCCTATGCCCTTCTTCATTAGCCCACAGTAATATAACTAATCATTCAATGAATATAAGACAGTAACTTTTTGTTATTCTAGAAATAAATTCAATATTGGCACAAAAATAAATTTTTAAAGTACCGGGTATTAATACTTCCCAAAATAAAAACTTGTAATTGGTACTATCAATAGATTGCATTATGTTTTATATTAAAATCAATAACCATTGATTTCAAATTGAAAATAGCATTGTCAAGCAATGAATGTACAGTAGTAGTTTTGGTTGCTTAACTTGCTGTGATGAGTACACTTAACCAGCAGAATTTGGAGGGGTGGCTTTAAGATTTTCTTCCAATAATGCTGTCAAGAACTGACGGAGCATTCTGAATTTTACTAACTCGATGGGGTACATCCTTATGACCAGTTGAACAATCTAAAATAACTCTGACCAATAGAGAATTTACAAGAATTGTGAATAAACAGATGGACGGACAGGCCAGGGTGACAACAATATACTCCCACATAAACAGTTAATTTTGGTGAACAAAAAATTGTCCACAACCCAAAATTACATTACTCTTAAGGAATATTGATAATTCACGTCCTATTTACCTTTACTTACAAGATATATAGAAGTTTCCTCAAATAATTCATTAAAACAGCTGGCAATAATAATTCTTTCATGTTTAGGATAGGAACCATAAATCTATTTCAATATATAGTATTCCATAAACCATACATGTAGTTTCTAACAGACAGCTACTTCCTACAAATTTGAATATGTGCCACTTGTACCTTGTCTTTCAATAACCCATTAAAACAAATTTAATCACCGGTACTCAAGATTCCATCTCAGTCAGGAACCATGAAGCACTTCTAATAATATCTTTCAATGTGTTGTTATTTTAGTAATGTTAAACTTTTAAAGAAAGTAAACAATTCTGACGCGCATGTAACATAAAAATAGGTTAGCACATAGACGCAGTTTGTTGTTAAGTAATCTAGTTAAGTGTTAGTGGTATTCTATACCGATTCACTTTGTTTGCACAAGGACACACCAGTTAAGAAAATTTCCTCCTTATGTACATTATTATTCATAATTATATTAGTGTCCATCATACATATGATAACTTTAAAGGGAGCTATCAATACATGTAAAATGTGCAAGTCACAGAACAAAAAAGGCCACAGAACACCTTTAATATATGTCAAGTTTATTATATCAAATTTTTTAGTCTAAATTGAACAGGGTTATTTTTAAATTTTAGAGATAGGAAGAGCCAAACGGTGTTTAATGTGTACTGTACACTAACTAGGTCATTTCAGGACTAACATTAGAGGGACCATAGCTGATTTAACAATCATCTGCCTTCCCTTCATAAAGGTTATTTCATGTTGTATTACCTTAACATGAAACGCTTTCTAACATTTAGAGAATTTATCTCAGCTTGTTATACAGTACAACTGACCTTTCTTTGTATCAGTTATAACAATGTTGATGGACAATCCTGCTAAGGGATACAGGAAATTTTGCATATCACATTGTGGACATGACTATAATATTATTAATTGATTGGTAATAAACAAAAGGAACACATCAGCATACATACCCATGACATCCATAGGCATTATGATCCATACCACAGACCTGACCATTCAGCTACCTAAGTCTGCTTTTTTTTAAATTGTTAAATCGTGGATATATTCGTCAATGCACACTAGATTCCCTTGTAAATCTCTTCCAGTTTATGTTTCAGTAATGTTAAAAGATCTTAATGACAAAGTCTGTCATAAACTTAATGAAAATAAATAACATTGGAACTAATATAGCTTAATCCAGACTTTAACATTGAGGGCGCCCCCCCGCCCCCATGTACAGTTTAGGCTAGGGTCCCATTATTTGTTTATCCACCTAAACTGGAATATAAAATATGAAAAAAAAACCTGTAGGGAATAAAGAAAAAACAATGATAAAATCTTCCCTATTCTTTGCACGTTTTCTGGTTTGTTTTTGTCAATTCAGCATTATTATCCAGTATTCACAGGCCTATGAATAGCGTGTCCCTTTAAATATTTATTATTACTATGTAAACTAGACTGATCATCATTCCTACATGTACTGGCAACTTCCTACCACTTATCTATTGACTAGAGTGATTTAAAGAGACATTGGTATGGAGGAAATTTTCTAAATTAGAAATTAGGGTGGCCAAATGTTCCTTGTGGGAAATATTCTTGGGGATATTAAGAGGCTAAACATATGTTTCAATTTAGAATTTCCTATCATTATTTACATCTGACAAGATTTGTTCTCAGAAAACGAGAAGATAAACACATTATTTGTCACGTCTATAGTTTGCTAGAGGCATTCGGTTTCATGTGTTAGATATTATCCATCCATTGCTGTAATCAAATAAGAGACAGTGTGTTCAATGATGAGAATGTATTAACCTTTAACAGAAAAGTAAGGAGTAGGGGGTATCAGTCAATCGCAAACAAACATTAAAGGAATAATGTGCACAGAAATCTTAAAATGAGAAATACTCGAAGAGTCCAAATTAAAACATTTAATAAAATACAGTGTTTGGCATCTGGTTATTCCAGTCTACACTGGTAGTATTCTCCTGTGGGATATGTTTAACCTCTTTCATCAAGTCGCTTCATTACAAATGAGACTCAAAAGCATTCTGGCATGCGAATTGTGCACCAGTTTTCAAATTTTCATTTTGTCTTAAATATTGGATATCAGAAGCCCATATATCTTTTCGAAAAAGGGCTAAGCTGTTTGTGTAATTTTCCAAAAATAAATATGTAACACAAGGCACAATTTTATGGATACACAATTACTGGGTGAGTTTCAGTGTTTCGAATTATTGCTGCAAATGTACATTATTATATAGAAACCTTTTTTTTGGTGATTAGGCCATTTGGTATCAGTCAATTGTGCACAGACGATTAGTCAATCTAGAATAGAACTTGGGCTTTTAGACCACTGTTGTTCAGTTCCCAACAGGGCTCTTTTTTCATTCATATTTGCCAATCTTGAGTGACTGTGAGTAAAAATAACCATTTGGAGATTTTAACTGGCAGTTGAATTAATTACATGCCATAAACTCAGAATGTAAAAGAATTTAACAATACATAAAAAAGTTATAGCTTTTATGTGTTAAAACACTTGACTTACAAATATATTTAAAAATTGCATAATGATAAAAATAGTTGTATATTCTTTGAAAAAATCTTGAAAATCTTTAGTAAATATATCAAAAAATTAACGCAATGGCAAAATTTTGAAGACAAAACGCTGGTTCAGAAACATCAATTAACCACCCTGGATCGTCTCCGCTGAACTTTTCATTAGCCCCCAGACAGGGCACTAACTACGAAAATAAATCTTCTGTTCTATAAGACAGTTTGAATTTAATCAGCTTTTGAACATGGTAGCACCATTAGGGCACAAGAAATTTTCTTATCCACTTAACAATCTAGGCATTATCAGATATTTATATATTTCCAGCCACATACAGAATTTATAACCAGCAACTATGATTAAAATACTAGACGTAGAATCTCTACCAATTACATACAATAAAATCATGGAATAAATTTATTTACCGGCATTCAGAAAGATCTGTTTTATCAAATATCCAACTATTGAATGATAAGACCGTATTAAAATAATTGGTGCCAATGAAGTTCCAAGATTAAATGGAATTGATGGCTCAAAATGTAATCAATCTATTTTGTGCCTTATATTTGGAAATCCATTCTGTCTTTGGTAATATTGATATAATGTGGTTTTTTGTTATGTATATATATATTATAGTGCATATAATGTTATCTAGACTTGATCACACACATCTCTAATAAAACTGGAATGGAACCGTCTGCAGGATATCAGTTTCTTAAACAAGCAACAGATTTTTGAAGTGCATGGTTAAACAACCTTCTAAAATTCTAAATATTTGTCAGTTATGTGACATTAGGCGTTACACATACAATTCTTGTTTTATATTAAAAAAGAAAAATTGTTCTGACCAGAGGTACATCTGATGAGAGGCATATCTAAAAATGTCGACAATTTGTACAGTCTAAATGCATCTAATGTGTATGTGCTCAGCGTATTCCTGAAGCAATGGCTCTTCTAAATATTCCTCTCTAGCCATTGCTGTACCGAGACCAAAATCTTGGGTTTTTGATAGTCCAATAAAATCTCTCCTACATGTAAGTACAGTAGAATCTGTATTCAGCGGCCACTCACAGAAGTGACCCCTTAAAGTTTAAATATTTGTTAGTAGGCCTACTGGTTCAAGTAAAATTGTATGCTTGGATGCATTAGGAGCAAATATTGATACTCGCATTGGTAAATTGTGCCATCGCAGAAGTTAGCTATTGGAAGTAGTATTTCTATCTAGTTTGTTGAAACACAATAGGCTACGTAACATGACAGTCCATTTCTTTGATTTGTTGAGCGCTGTGTGATTGTTTGTATATCCTGGGATGCCTGTCTAAAGTCTTGTACTTCCCTTTTGACTTGGTTGTAGGGAATTCTCCTTTTGGCTCATTTGGTAGAAATGTATGGATTCTGTGCCTGGATTCCCTACAAGAGCTTCCTGTCACTAGTAGCAGTGTCCATTATAGAGACAAATGTCATCTATGTCAGAAGAAGCTTGATAATTAGCCATTATCTATGTCAACAAAGGAACTTCAAGGGTTTATGCATACAACCATTAAGTCTCTCACAACCAGAATTAGAGAGAAAAATGTGATTGAATGTCAACACTTACATGTACTCTTTTCTATCAGTAATTTACTTGCACATCAGGGCTTTTAGAAGGAAACAGGAGTCGGAGAAAAGATACAAGCCTGGGATCAAACACTTGACGTGCAAAAATAACATACAAGATCTACAGAAGGTGTATTAGACAAACCAGTAATTGCATTCCATAGAAATGTGATCTTGTAATTCCAATTCATTTTCTAAATGCCATGTTGAAACTAGTTAATTGTACATGTATGTAATTATGCTAAATTACATGGATTAAATATTCTCTACAAGTGCATGTAGCAATAAGCAATTCATTGTCTCTAATTATTATCCTTTTTGTCATAAATGTGGTGACATAAGTTCATTTCAATATATGGGTAGTTTGATTGACAACCGGCAGTAACATGTATCACTCAACACATATCAAAGTTAAGCATAATATTATTATAATATATTTAAACATGCATTATGCATGAGCTAAATCTGCCCATTCCAGGTCTTTTTTCAGACCTAAAATGTTATCCAAATTATCAATTAGACATTAAACATACATTATGCAAGAGCTAAATCTGTCTATTGCAGATCTTTCTTTAGGCCTGAAATGTTATCTAAATTATTAATTAGACATTAATTAACCTATCCAGACCATAATCAACTCTAGATGGCATCGTTAGCCTGTGATCTTTGGTGGATTATGAGCTGATTTACTGCATAACTTTCCTTCACGATTTAACAATTAAATGAATAAATCGAGACTATGCTGTTTATCGTACTGACTTTAGTAATGATGATCAAGCCAGGTGGAAATTTCAATCGCTTAGTACACGGTTCATAGTGGAACAATTTGAATGAAATTTTCAGTAAATTGCCTTTACATTATCTAGTTTTGAACTATTATAGTGAGAACTGCCAACTCGTTATCGAATCTCCCATAATGTATCTTTAAGTAACGTATCAAGATCATAATCGACTCTCAATGCTATCGTTAGCCTGCGATATTTAGTGGATTTGAATACGTTTTGTGATGGATGATTTAACGTAAAAATGGATAATCAAGACTTTGTTCATTATCGTACCAATAGTAGTAATGACAACAGATCAGCTAACCTAAAATTGGATCACTAATATCTGGGTTTAGAGTGAAGCAATTTGACTGAAATTTTCACCATATTCTATTTCCATTACCAATTTTTAACTATTATTGCGAGAA